AACCTCAAGGCCTAGGCCGCCCACCCCCGGTAGCAACTGTTTAGGGGTTTAGAGTGTTGGGGTTTGAAGTTTAGGGTTTGACTTGCTCTGGAACAGCCACAAGGCATGTTTTCTGCTCGTTCGGATTTCGTTACAAGGAAGTAGGTTCGCAATGGTTCCACCTCATAAAAGGTTTTTTTCAACCACACCGAATTGGTGGTCTCGGATCTTGGCCTTTCTGGATGCAGGGCTTTTAATTCGCTCTTGGCGTTTGGGAAGGGCCTAGGGATCTGAATACAAGGATTCTCAGGTTTCTGAAAGCCCAAAAACCCCCCAAAACCCGAAAGGCTAAAAGGCTCAACCTGCCAGAGGCTTCCTTTTTTGTTTGCAAGTATACAGTCTTTGGGACTCGGGGTGAGATGTTAAGGGCTTTTAGGACTTTGAAGATTCAGGTTTTGTGAACCCCCAAGGGCGCTGTTACCTGAAAGTCGCGATGCTTGTCGCTCCAGGGCCTCGATGCCACGACACGGTTTTTTTTCTGGCTGGGTTGGGGTACTTAGAAGTAATTTTCATTTTTTGGTGATTATATTCCTTAAAAAACAGCTAAAATTGCAATTTTTGCTAGGGTTCTAAGTTCAGTATAGTTGGGTTGGGAAGCTAACAGCCTCAAGGCGGAGCCTGAGGGGGAACCCTTGTAGTGAACTTTGCATCAAAGGGAGGCTTTTGACTACAAGTTGAGTTGGAGTCGCATTCTCCTTAAGTCCAAGAGTGCTCAGAGCCGAAATCCTAGTAGCTGAGTGGATACACTTTACACTTTTTGGGAGAATATTAGCCACTATAAAACTGAAAGTGTACACTTTTGGGGGCTTCGGAACTCAGCAACTAAAAAAAGATTCGAGCAGGATCAGGCGGACGCGTATCGCTAACGTGAAGCACAGATGTTACTGACTCGGCTCTGGAGTTGACATCTATAGTAAAGCCCTAGTCAAAATATTCAGGCATTTACAGTACAAGTGCTTCTACAAACCCACTTCAAAGTCTTTTCACGCTTCGCGTGACTACTGTGGGTCTTTCAATAAACACTCAAAGCCGCTTACGGCAGGGTCTGGACTCTAGGTTCCCTACGGTCCTACGCCTAAAGCCTGAAAACTAGACACTTGCCTTCCCCAAAGGCTCCATGTACCCATATAGTAGGTACTTAGGCCTCAAAGGGGTCCCTATATGGGTACTTTAAGGCCTAAGTACCTACTATATGGGTACATGGAGCCTTTGGGTTCCTCAACGTGGAAGTCAAACCTGGAACTCTACATGCCTAAACCTAAACTCCAGATCTAGCACCCATCAGCTAGACCACCGCATTCCTGCAAACTAGACCCTCGCTCGCATGTCTATACCTAGTTCAGGGGTAACTATAAGTGGGGTTATAAGTCCCCTGATATGGGTTATAAGTATAGTTACCCAACTTATAACTACCCATGAACCTCCAAGTATGGTTTAGGGCCTAAAGTAGGGTTGAGGCCGCTACACACCAGGCACCCACCACTCTTCCGAAGAAAACCGACAGGAGCCGAACCCAAGCACCCGAATTCCCTATCCTGAAACCATCTGAATCTGAAACCCAAGCCCGAAGACTGTGCATCATTCTTCTACACCAGGGTGGCATGCAGTACCCGAGCACGGAAAAATGTGCATAATTTCTAAAACTAGGCCCCGACTTAGGGGATCTACTTGCTAGATCCCTAAACCGTAAACCCCTAAACCCTACTTTCTAGATCCTCCAAAGGGGGGTCTGGGAAAACTCTTACCTTTGGTTAGTAGGGAATGGAAGAATGGTAGTAATAGCAGTCATAATTGTATCCCATTCCTCCATTCCCTACCCTTAGTACCCTTATTATAGATCCCATATAGTAGCCCTTATGGATCCCCTTAAAGGAACCCTACTTACCAAAGGCAAGAACTAGGCCCCGGCCAAGTTTGTGCCATTTTAGCGCCTTGGAGCTCCCAGGGTGGTTTGCAGCTGATTTTGGAGGAATTTCCGGACGGAAAGGCGAGGCGCCCAACGTGACATACGGGAGTTTCCGAAAATTGGAGGGGGGGTACCTTTATAGGGTTACTGTAAGGGTACTATAAGGGCTTCTTTAAAGGGCTTTCTAAGGGTTTAGAGTTTCCGAAAATTGGGGGTACCCTTGTTTTGGGGTCCTTATAATAGGGAGCTTACTATTTAGGGTACTATATCAGGGTCCCCTATTTTCAGGAAACTCCCATATGGTATCAGGTGGTACAGTACTGGATAGTTTAGTAGCGTAGTTCCCTTTACCAGTAGAAACCTATAGCATAAAAAAATACATGACATACCCCAAGACCCCATTCTAGTCATTAAGGCCCCTACACTGATCCCCCAGAATTACCCCCTTGTAGCAAGCCTTACAGAAAGCCTGCAAGCAACCCCTGACCCGACTCGACTTAGGCGGTTTAGGGTCTACTGTTGGGGCCGAACACAATTCATCAAAGGGGAAAAGGAGGGACCCTTAATGGGGACCCCTGGGTCCCTAAAATGGCCTATATAATGGGTATATAAAAGCTATATTAAGGGTTTATACCTAGGGGTCCTTATTAAGGGTCCCTCCGTTTACCCTTGGAATTCAACCGGGGGTTTCGGATATAATATACTTTCCGGTTCGGGTTGTAGCTTGTAGGGTTGCGGAGTTTGGAATTTAGGTTTTCTTGACATTTCGGGAACCTATGAAGTTTAGGTTTCGCATTGTAGGGTTTCGTTTTGGGGTACAGTAACTACCAACGGCACCAAACAGGTATATATGCTACATAGTGGTGATCGCCGCGCATGCTGGGAACAAGGGTTTGAGGTCGCTAGGAATTCGATTTCTATTGTCGCTGGCGAACCCTCACACCGAAACCCTCAAACTTGAAATCCCAGAACTCACCCTGTATATGTTGGGGTATGAGACGAAACATCTCGAGATTCTGGGCTGTTGGTGTGGATTGAAGCTTGGAATTTTGATTGGCCTTCTGACTCCCTACTTGATGCCTCGAATGTGCTTCCACTGAATAAAGAAATTTACAGGGGCTATATTCCGGCCCCAAGTACTTGGGTTTGTCGGGGTTTTGGCTAGGGGTTTTGAAAAGGTCGTCAGTGCTCCACTTACTCAGAGCCCATGGTCCTTGGATGCTTCAGGATCGACGATCCTTCAAGACTGCTTCAGATCCAGATGAAAGAATACTTGGAGGTTCAGGGGTAGTTCTAAGTAGGATTATAAGTCCCCTAGTATGGGTTATAAGTATGTAAAACCCTACTTATAACTAGCCATGAACCTCCAAGTAAGGGTCAATGCTCAGACAAACCCCAACGTCGCCTTCAGGTTGCCGAAATCTTTCCTCTTTTGGCTGCCCTCCTGCGGCATCACCTCAGGACCAGGGAACGGGGTCTCGCTTAGTGGGGTGCTGGGCTGGCTTACGCAGTCCTTGCCGAACTGGGCTATAAATAGAGGCACAGTAATGGACTGATTTGAGAAATTTCTTGGAAGTAAAGAACACGATTTTTGTCATCAGTACGGTCTTTGCAATATTACTTTGGAGTTCCAACCCGTAATTCACGGTTCAGGGTTTAGGGTGCTTCAGCATGCAGTGTAGAATTCTGTAAGCGGGTTGCCACTGTTGTCATAAGCACTGGACTTTAGGGCTTTAAGGGTTTCGGGGCAATAGTAGCAAGTGCCGTCGTCGTAGGTCCTCATAGGTCGACGTCGTCGTCGTAGTAGTAGTAGTGGGAGCAGCAGCAGCAGCGGCAGGCAGGCGTGGTAATAGTAGTAGTAGTAGTAGTAGTAGTAGTAGTAGTAGTAGTAGTAGTAGTAGTAGTAGTAGTAGTAGTAGTAGTAGTAGTAGTAGTAGTAGTAGTAGTAGTAGTAGTAGTAGTAGTAGTAGTTATAGCAGCAGGGGCAGCAGCGGCTGCAGTGTTGATGTTGTTCCTGTTGTTGTCGCCGTCGTGATAGCTGTAATGGCAGCAGTGGGAGTAGCCGCAGCAATAATCGCAGTCGTGGCAATTGTCAGAGACTCTTGGATGTATCGGGACTGGGAGGAGCATTCCGGAGTGTACAGAGCAGTACCTGCTCTCCGATGATGACGAGGTGGACTCGCATGCTTCCTGGTTCTTTGGATTTTGCTAGTCGCGCTAGTGCCTCCGCGGGTATTGCTAAGGTTTGGAAGAGTCGTATTTTGTTTGCCTTCTCGGCTTGGTACCCTTTGGTTTCGCGCTATTTGGGAGTTTCCGAAAATAGGAGACCCTAATTAATATAGTACAATAAGTAGTAGATCCGTATTATAAGGACCCTCAAATAAGATGACACTCTGAAGCGACCTCAAGTTGGAAAGCAGCAGTGCTAGATGCATCCCGGCAACTTTTGTTTCACTAACATAGCGCCAAGGTGCGAAGCGGCCACTTCCAAACCACGCTTGAAGGTTTATGGGCCATAATCGATGGGTGATGTCGCTATAAGTAGCGCTATGTGTTTCTTGGGTAGTAACCTACAACCGACACCCTGAGCCCTACGTCCCTGGAGTCCGAAACTCTTACCGTGCTTGTGGTAACTGCGCTAGGTAGAAATCCCCATGAAGACCTTCAAGTCCTCAACGGTTTGCGGGCTGGGGTAAGGGGGTTTGGGCTGAGTATAGCCTTGAGGGTACAAGGTCGTCTGATCAATAGAACAGCTTGCTGCCCTTTCCCTCCACACTCAACCGGGCTCTTGGAACGTTTGAGCATCCCATGAAGTATAGTGCAGTCTAGAACAGCTCAAAGCCAAGTCACTCCAAGTCTGAAAGGATCAGCTAAAGCTGGGCCGCAGCGTCTCACTGCCGCGCCCGGTCATCGAAAGGCGTGGCACGTGATTTTGGGTTGTTGATTGCTTGGTTGGTGGTGGAATTTTGGCACTCCCTTTGCGGACTTCTGACCGTGTTCGGATCACAGGCTTTATGGGATTTGCTAGCAGCCCTTTCGCTCCCTCTGCCGTGGCATGGATCTGACCCAGCCTGGGATTTGCCCAGAGACCAGCGATCTTCCAAGGACTCCAAGGGCAGAGCACTGCGAGGTCGAAGGCCAGGGACGTTCCGAGGACTCCGACGAATTAGCGGAGGAAGGTCAGGAGAGAGGCGAGGAGGATGCGAATTTGGATGCTTGGCTGAGGGCTCAGTATGCCAGTGACTTCTTGGCCAGCATGGAGGCCACCCGCCCGGACATCATCCGAGCAGCGCCCGTCCAACATGTACTTCGGGGCTTGGCGCGGCCCCTCCGAGCTGATGGCGACTACGATTTCTATCACTTGAGCCACACGACAACAAGAGGTTACACGTTTTGGTCCCACAGCTGGCATGGTTCTGTTCGCAGGAAGATTGCTACTGTCTTCTTCCTCCACCTGGCCACGCCAGCCACAATCATTGGTACCGCAGCAGCAGTTTCTGTTTGCATCTTGTTCGGACTTGGTCTGCTTCCTGATGATGCTGGCCAGAGCTGGTGGTGCTTGAGCTCTGGCTTTCTTGGGATTGAGTTTCGGGCGTGGCACTTGGGCCCCAGTATCAGAAATCCCGGATGGTCTGCCGTATGGATAGGGAATTCACTCTGCCGAATCACTGCACGGTGACCGATGATAGCTTCGGTCCAAGTTCTGAAAAGGTTCAGCTTCCGGTTGCACATTTCCTGATGCCTTAGTTTTGCTTTGTCTTGGAGGTCACGAAAACTGGGATTGTTTGGGTGCCGGGAAAGCCACAGGCATTTCGTTGAGAGAGTGGAAGAAGAGAGATAGAGAGAAACAGAAGGTCAGAGAGAAAGGGAGAAATGTCCGTGCTCTTAGGCCACGTTCATGCTTACGTACATGCATATTAGAAAGGATCAAGAGCTTCAAGAACAAATGAAAACGAAGGAGTTCCTAAGGTCGCTTGTCTACTGACTTCTCGTGGCTTCTCGATGTACTTGGAGGTTCATGGGAAGTCACACGTGGGGTTATAAGTCCCCTGATATGGGTTACAAGTATACTTACCCCAATGCTAACATTGGCCCAGCCGGCGCAGATATCGCTGTAGAGCACAGTAGTAGAGTCGGTAACCTTTAGCGTTTTCGGGGTAGTATAGTCTCCATATACTCCCTTTAACCAAAAAGGTTAACCTGTAGATCCCCATGATACCCGACAAGTAGGTATAGTTGTGTGAGAAGACATTGGAAAGAAGGAGTAGAGCCAGAATGTAATTGCCCAAACCCTACACACCCTGAAACCCTAAACCCCGAAACTCCCTAAAGCCTAAACCCTTAACCCCTAAATCCTAAATTTGAAAGAAAAAGCATCCCAGGACGACAGGATGCTTGAGCTACATGTTCGCGATGCTCTTCTGGCGGCCGCAGCAGCCGGTATTTCTAGACCGAGTTTGCATCTCTCAGACGAAACAAGATCTCCAAGTGGAAGCACTGCTTAGCTTACGTGCTATCCTGCAAAACGCCGACAGCATGTTGGTGCTTTGGGACTCCTCCTGGGCGCATCGTTTGTTTGTGTGTCTTCGAACTGGCCGCCTTCATCCACAGCAGGCCCTCAGGTGAGAAGCCTCGTGTCATGATCCGGCCGACCATGCTCGGGTACACCTCGTTCGCATTTTGGTTTGCACTCATGTTTGGTGGGCTTGCTACCCTTGCTGCATTCAATGCGAACGGGATGGGGGGGCCGCTCACGCATGCTCACCTGTTGCTAGTCGCCCTCGCATGCTCGAGTGTGATTTTCTGGTACATTGCGCACCTCTCCCGCGAGTACTGCCGTGATGTGACCACCATGTGCCAGCACATCGGCCATTTTAGCACGGAGAAGAGTTCTTGCCACTGCTGCTCCACGGATCATCGAGTGCCTGGTGCTGATACGCCTGTCATATGTGACCGGATCATTATTCTGAAATGCATCAGCACATGGTTTGGAAGCGTCGATGCCTTTGAGAAGCATGTGCAGAGTGCAGTGCTCGATTTGCTGGTGGAGCAGCTCGCAACCAACATGATGTCATACTGGCGCTTGGCTTGCGCTACCCCGATTTTCTGTTGGGTGAACCTTGACCGGATGGCATTCAACCTGTGGATGTTTTGGCAGGCTGATGACGCCCGGTTTGCCCCTTACCTCCTGCAGATCCTCGTGGGCATCTGTAACTGGCTTGCAGTTGCTGCACTGCTTTATCGAGTCCTCCTCCGCCTTTCTTGGATCTTGCAAAGGAAGTGTGCTTGCATTTCTTTAGACCTGCTCGTATCCGGACTGATCCTACTGGCCGGACTCGGCATCTTTGGCTTCTTTGCATTCTTGGAGCAATTCCTCGGCATGTACCTAGGGCCTTCATGGGCTTCAATCTGCTATGCCTTGATAACGCTTCCTCTCGGAGCACTCGCTTGGCACTGCCTGCCAGTACCTCTGCCTCGCCATGTCATGGCTTCTTTCACGGTTTAGGCTTACTTGGAGGATCTTGGAGGTTCATGGGTAGTTATGAGCAGGGTTATAAGTAGGCTAACTATACTCAAAACACACATTAGGGGACTTATAACCCCACTTATAACTACCCATGAACCTCCAAGTACGGCTTGCAGATGCAAGGAATCGTGAGGCTTTAGCCAGGCATCTCCTCACAGAAGCCTCGCCAGAGGTGGCCTGGGGCCTTGTAGCTTCCCAAGGCATGTGGGAGTTTCCGAAAACAAGACAAACCCTCATATAGTACCCCAAATACTAGGATCCTCATAAAAAGGACCCCAAAATAGGGTACCTCCAATTTTCGGAAAACTCCCATGTTACGAAATGTAGGAACCTGATTAAGAACCATGGGCCTGAACCTCCAAAATAGTGGGATTCATATGGGAGTTTCCGAAATTAAGGGGTACCTTTTTAAAAGGTCCTTATAATAAGGATCCTAGTATTTAGGGCACTATATTAGGGTCCCCTATTTGCGGAAATTCCCATATGGGTGGTTGACAAAAGTATGGTCCCTTTTTGGGTCCTTAGTATAGTACGGCACGCACGTAATATTTAGGGCACCCCAAAACGGGACCATAATTTTGACAACCACCCATAAAAGGAACCCTGATAAAGGCCCAGGGTTTCTTAATCAGGTTCCTACATTAGGGCTTCCTGCATGGGCGATGTTTCTGAGTGTGGTCAGGATTCGGCTTTTCGAATTTCAATTTTGCGCTTTGCGCCGACCTCCCAGGTCTTCTCTCGTGCAGGGATGTGCGTGCCTGTGACAGAAGCTCCCTGTCTAGATGAGATGTGGGAGTTTCCGACAATCTGGGGTACCTTATTTTGGTTTCCGGCAATCTGGGGTACCTGATTAATTATTTTGGGGTCCCTATGATAAGGATCCTAGTATGTAGGGTACTATATCAGGGTCCCCTATTTTCGGAAACTCCCGTGTTGCATGTTTATCGCGAGTCCAGGCTTCTTTCAAATCTTCTGCTGCTCTTGCAGAGCCGGCTCTCTGGCATCGGGCACCGATGAAACTGCGGCGGGATGAGGCCCCAACTTACTCTCACTGGGTTGTCTATGCGGTTAAGATCAGCATTTAGCTCCTATGTAAGAGTGTTTGAAGCAAGCATCTCGTTGTGGGCGAGTTACTGTAGCGACGCAAGGATCCATCACTACATCCTCTATGGTGTGCTAAGACCTCTACGGATTGATTGTGGTTGCATCCCTTACTACGGTCTTGCTTGAATGTGACTGCGCGTGGCCGAAACTTGAGGCTGGGAGGCCCAGTAGTACCCCTGCTTCCCTTTTTGTAGTCCTAGGTTCCTTATAAAGTTACCCAACACCAAAAAGGGAGCCCTTTTTGTTCCTAGGTTACTGGGCATCCTAGGAGGCCTATCCGACCTAGAGAAGCTGCGGTTTCAAAGTGAGCCACGACAGGGGCCCCCCCCAATCCGTCCGGTTTAGGTTTTAGGGTTTAGGGTTTGGGGAGCCTGATGAAGTCCAAACTCTGCCTCTATCTAAGTTCCGTTTTTGTTATGGTAGAAGCCATAAGGTTGGAACATCATTAGCCTCATGGTCTTAAAGTAAAGTATAGGGAATCCCAGCATGAATCATCCTAAATCAAGTTCCAACTTTCTGGGTATTACTATAGGTCCTGTCCTGTGAAGGGAATATGAGCCTGACAGTAAGACTGCTAACAATAGTATCACGTTGGCCATCAACGGGGACGATGCCGCCGGCAAGGCCCTGAAAAAGAGCCAGCAGTTGCACCATGCAGCAGCGATGCCGCATGCTGAAGCTGAAAACGACCCAGATACGCTGCAGAGGGTGCTTTATAAGCTCATGGGCATCATACATGCCATGCTGTGGCTCTACATTCTTTTGAACTTTTGAAGACCTCGTGCACCGTCATTGAGACGGAGGCGAAGTCAGACCGTAGCATACTGCAGCAGCAGCCAGGAATGCCAGCTTTGATGTCAAAGCACGCTAAGGTTTAGACTTGAAACGATTCTGGAATCGAAGCTCTTCACTCACGCTAGCTCCAAATGAGACCGGAGAGCACATGATAAGCTTGCCATGTCTACCATGTCCTACGATGTGGGACGGCCGGTGTTCGTGGTGTTACGTGCACACGCGTTGCTTCTTGCACAAGGCTTCGGCTACAAATGATATACTTTGCTATCTAGACTAAACTATCCTATTCGTTTAGATGATCTATCGTTCAGCAGCAGTTTGTAGTGTGGAACTTTGGATGATTCGCTTGGGACGACACAAATGAGTGGCTCGAGGCTTCTCCACACTCCGACCACCTCAGGGGGCCTGAATTTCTGAAGCAGCTAGCAGTAGTTTGCCAGAGCACTCCCCAACATGTTTAGGGTTTAGGGTAGTCGTTTTACCTTAGGGTTCCCCAGTATGTTTGGGGATTTCGAGACGGTTTAGAGTTTCATTCCTATGAAACCCCGAAACCCAGTCCAATGATTCAGGCCCTGCGTGGTGTTTTCCAAGTTTCGGCGCCTCGCGTAACGGTTTTCTTCATCGGCCTTCCGGTGCTGGAGAGGCTTGCATCGCAACCCTAAACCTGGTAGCTCTAAACCGCTAATTACCGGGAAACCCTAAACAAATACTCCCTAGGGCTCCTTAACAATAATCATAGTACCACATTCCCGAAGAACCCTGTGATAATCATCAAGACCCCTTTTTTTCACGGAGCCGCTGGAAAGAAAGGTTCTGGAGATGCGACCTGCAACCTCAACCGAAAACCCTGAAACCGTATCCGCGGCCCTGCGTGAGAGAGTGCATTGCCGTGCTGAAATGTGGATATAAGGTCGATCTCTCAAAGGTGGGGAGGGTAAGAGATCCTGTATAAGGGGATCCTTATTCCTATCTACTTCGTGGTTTTGGGTTTATAGGGTTTAGGCTACTAGGGGTTTAGGGTTTAGGGGTCTCGGGTGAAGAGTTTACTTACCTTTGGTTAGTAGGGAATTGAAGAATGGTAGTAATAGAAGTTCTAATTGTACCCCATGCCTCCATTCCCTACCCGTAGTACCCTTATTATAGATCCCATATAGTTGCCCTTATGGATCCCCTTAAAGGAACCCTACTTACCCAAAGGTAAGATAACGGGATCCTTGTTCCTATCTACCTTTATCCCTCCGGCTGAGGACCTCGACCTGTGAGGGTGCGATCTATACTGTGCATTCGACATGGATGATAGAGATCTTTGCGGTTTAGGGCCGAGGGATCTCTAGGGCATGGGGAGTTTTAAGGTTTAGTGCTGAGGCTTTAAGGTAGACTCCTGACCGTCCCTGATTGAAAAAATTAGAAGCTATAATAGGAATCCTAGCATCAAGGTCCTCAAGGAAGAGGATTGGGGACCCACATTACCTTTCATCCCAGTGATCTGCACAATGCTAGCTTGCATGTTCTCATTGCTCTCCCAGCATTTCTTTTTTGTTCAGATCGCTGTTCCCTGTCATTAGTGTATCAGTAACTGGTGAGCCGGGAAATGAAGATTATTACTGACATTACGAAATCCAACACTGGCCAGCGCCATCCTTCGTAATGTATTAATTATATATATATATATATATATGTATATATATGTATATGTACATGTATGTACACTTCTTTTCGTATTTATGTTTATATATTTGTACTTGTAAACAATTATGCAATTATACATTTATATATATATATACATATATACATGGATCGCAGGAGCATTTGATTTTTAGCCTTTAACCCTGAAGCAGCAGCGAAGCCTTTGGTGGAAGAAGCCAACTGGAGCTTTGTGCCCTGTGAGGCCGCCCGAGGAGGAGGAAGTGCAGCAGCCGAAGCCGAAGAAGCCCCTGAAAGCGAAGACGAGGCCACAGCATCTCGTGAAGAAGCTATCTGGGCGAAACATGAAACTTGTTGTCCCCAACAGTTTTTCCTCAATATATCTCTTCCCCAATATGTATGTCTATATATATAACCTCTTCAAATGACCACACAGGTCTGAATAACCATATAACCCGAAGCTAAGCCTGCGGGCAACGGTAAGCGGGATGAGGCTGACGTCATGTGTTGCTGTTCCTGCTTCTGAAGCTAGCACTCGGAGGTTCGGATACACAGT